CAGATCAATCAACCATTCAATGCAAAATGTATAGAAATGTATAAATGTATTTTATTCCTTGTACCCTTCAATAATAATAAAATAAAAAATACAAAAAAACAAACAAACATAATAATCCTGCCTCCAGGGTCCACAGCTTTGTTGTGTGCTCCTGGAGCTGGTCCCAAGCCCAGATCAAAGGAGAGGGTTATGTCTTGAACAGAATGAGTACTCCTGGGTCAAATCTGTTGATTATTTTCCACAAATAGAAAATAAAACTGGTTTAAAAATCTAAAATATCAATTTAATTTTCCTACCTTGAACATTTAATGCTCAGACATTTTATTCTTATCAATTAGAATAAAAAAGAACATAAATATGTTGCCTGGAAATTGAATAAGTACTGAAACCCCTCCAGAGCAAAACCCAGCCCTATTTTATTGTATTTTTTCATCTGGAAAGTATAGGCGACATAGTTGTTGGTTGTAGGAGTTTGCCCTGAAATCAAAGGATTGACAGTTCAAGCCCCGGCTCTGACTTTTATTGTCGTTGTGACCTTGGGCAAGACACTTCACCTGTATTGTCTACTGATGGTGGTCAGAGGGCCCGGTGGTACCAGTGTACAGCAACCTCGCTTCTGTCAGTGAGCCCCAGGGCCGCTGTGGCTACAATGTAGCTTGCCACCATCAGTGTGTGAGTGTGTGTGTGAATGGGTGAATGATTGAATGTAGTGTAAAGCGCTTTGGTCAAGTCTCCTGACTTGAAAAAGCGCTATATAAGTACAGACCATTTACCATATCAGATGTGTTCACATACCCCTTGCAATGCATTGGTGGACCACTAGGGGTACTAGTGCCCCTAGTTGGGAATCACTGAGCTACACTGTAGCCGCTGTCGCTCTGGGGCAGACGGACAGGAACCAACTGCTGGCCAAGGTCGGTGAACCCAGTGATAGAGCCAAATGGAGCGGGGGCCAGAAATGGTGGATCTGGAGTCAAAAAAGTAATCTCTATGTCATGAATTTGTTCTGCCCGGCCATTGAAGCAGATGAGTCCAGTCAGCAACAGGAATTGATGCACTTAAAGTGTCCTTTAGCAACAGATAAATGTTAATCAAAACAGTGCAGTTTCATTCGGTTTAACGGTGAAAAATGAACAATGACTGCGGAATGCAATAAACTGTGATGAAGGTGAAAGAGAATAGGTTAGCTTAGCTGGTCCTGAAACAAATGAAAGGTTAGACCTCCCAACATGGCCTCACATGTCTGGCATGAGGTAGCTGGGAGCCAATGATGCTAGCCAGTCCCCCTATAGTCTGTTGAGACACGGATGGTAACACCACTGTGTTTGTTTAGTCATCTTAGTGAGCAATTAGCATTCAGTTCAAAACCATTAATACAATAAGCAGTTGAATCAGAAAGCGAATTTCAAATAAAAACACAAACAGAACTATTTATTCTACCTAGTTCAACCGAGCAGAGCACTTATTAAGCATCAGTGGAGAGAGGAAACGATGGACGTTACTCTTTTTGGCTCAGTGGAGACTCTCCGCCTCAGTTCAGTTCTTTGCAGACTCCGTCTTTGGCCCAATCCATTCATCAAAGAGATTTGGATTGATCCCATGCAATAAGAATAGGCAACTTAATAGTTCTTAATTTTAGAACTTACGGCAGTTAGCTGGTTGGTTTGTTTCACAGGAAAAGACGGTCACTACGATCAGCTCCTTCTGACTTGATCCAGCAAGCACAGACCTCTATGGAGGGATTTGGTTGCAACAGAGAACCGGCTTGTCTAGCCTTACGCGGCCGTACTCCACTGGCAACAGGAAGTTGAATAGAAGCCGGCCGCTTAAATAAACGGTGGCCGTTTCTCAATATGCATACTTGTGAGTTCTCTTGTGCTAGTGTACTTGTGAAACGTCATCATCCTCAGCCTTAGTACTGTTCCAATTCACAAGAACAGCAGAACGAGAACAGTCCCCGGATGTTGTTCTCGGCCCTCCCTCTTTACCCAGCATGCATCAGAGCAGACTTGTCCCTTCTTGAGATTGACAGCTCTCCCAGCATGCACTGCGACAGCAGCAGCTTCCAATGGAGCCCTAACAGAGCTCAGACTATTAAATTAAAATTTCTCTTATCTGTTGCTTTTTTTTAATAAAATGTTTTAAGATTATTTGAGGCGAGAATATTCTACTTTAAAGCATCACTTTATGGTTCATTTACCGATGCATAATCAAGAAAAAAATTCAGAAGTTGAGAGGACAACATCCGAGGCTAACGGCAGCCAGGGCTAACCACAGCCCGTCTGCAGCAGCCTTCTCTCGCCGTACACATAGCCGCGTGTGAAGTACCGCTGGCTCTGATGGCAATTTTTTTGTTTTATTTGGCAAAATGTTCATTTGATTTGTGTTCATCTGAGTGTGTTAATTATTATTCTCCCACTAAATGAAGAAAGTAAGAATTTCTTATTATCTAGAGACTTTTAATAAAAGGAGGTGAAATGCGTGTGGTGACGTCACAAGTACGGTTCTGTACCTATTGACCAAGATTTACGCTGTGTGCTCCCGTTCCCCCAGAGTCCAGATTTTCCTGTGTTCTTCTCAAGAACATACTTGGCGAGGACACGAGTCCGTACTCACATTCTTGTAAATTACGAAACGACCACTGTCGCAGCGGTGTGATGTCAGATGGGACATGTTTCTGTTATATCACTGATATTTTATCTCAACAACAGAAAAACCATACCTATTGTGACGCATGGGGGTAGAAACATCATGCTTTGGGGCTTTTCTGCAAAGGGGAAAGGAAGACTGATCTGTTTTAAGGGAAGAATGAACAGGGCCATGAATGGTAAGATTTTATGCCCAAACCTTCCTTCAGTGTGGCTCTGTCTTTCAAGCACATCAACCAAAGTAAAAAAAAAATAAAAAAAATCAAGGACCTGGAGTGGCCTAGTGAGTCTTCACACCTAGAAA